TACCTCCAACTTGTGCTTCTCTAAGGCTCTGACGAAGGCGATAACGCCGAAACGTTGGCCGAATAAAGAAGTTTAACATCTTGGTGCAAGCTCAGCAAAATAAGAAAGTGTAGGAGAAAGTTTCCATACACTAACAGATACCTCATCGCTTCATATGCACTTCGCAATCCGTAACTCCAAAATCCACAATATGTTAATGTGCTAAAGTTAAAAATTTATGTGCTATGATTAGTTATGAATATCACATGTATTACGGACAAACGGACAAAACTTTAGCTGCATGACTAACAAACTTACAATCTAGATGAAGAAATTTGAAAAATTTCTAAACGCAGGCAAAACTATCTAACACGATTTCCGTAAATCAACAGGCGTCTCATCCCTTCACATGCACTTTGCAGTCCGCAATCCAAAAGCCCAAAATAAAGGGTGCTACCACTGCAAACAAGTGGAATACAACTAACCTGATCGCAGCGAAGACGACCACAACATTGTAACTTTCGGAACAGTCTGTACGCTGGTTTGATGCCAAAATTGTGCAGTAAGTAGGTAGGCCAGCCATAAACACATGAAGCGAAATGTAAGAAATGTGAAGCATTCTCGATTGTCATCCAATCAGGACGATCTGAGATATGAAATTTCAATAATAGAACAGATACTGAGCAAATAATGAAGCAAAACTTTACTCACCGCTAATTTTCGGCACAAGAGGAGGATAGACGTTGACAGGAGAGTGAGCTGTGAGGAACAATCCAGCTAACACATCACTGAACACAATATCAACGTCGGCAAAGAAAGAGCTGATCATATTCGCAATATCATCCATCGCTGCTCTCATTGATTCATCTCGTCGGATGGTGAACTAAATTAGTGCACTCAGTGGAAAAAAGGAGAAAGAAAAAATGTCTTTGCAGAGCTACAAGTCCAATTTTCAAAAAGTATCTTTTACAGAACTTGAGCATTGAGGTTATATAAAAAATATGATAAATTTTCATATTATATAAAAGTGTATGTTGAATGGCGCGATTTTCGATTGCCATTAAGAGCACATTTGCATTGGTCTCTACATTGAAGTTTTATGGTGACAGAGTACTACTTTCAATAAAAAATGTACAAGCTCTTAACTTTGTTTCAGATTCATAACAAGATATAACCATTCAAAAAATAAAATGCTGCAAATTCAGTATAAAATTCAGTTTAAACTCATTTCTTATTGTCTTGAAGTCAGCAACTCATGAAAATAATGTGTTGTGTTAAAAGCATGTTTTATAAAGTTATAACAGTGAAAAAGCGACGCTCGATCGTCTCCCCTTCAAAATACTCAAAATGCTAGTCAGAGGTCATATTTGTGCCATCAAAACATGAATTTTATGTTTATGGAAGCTTATTTCATAAGAATGAGATTTTGAAACTACTGCCTTTAAAGGAACGATTAAGACAACAGCCGACAATGTGATAACCTATAGACGACGACCATGCGGCTCGAAGTAAAACGGACCAATGCAACACCATTACTTTGGCCCGCTCCTTTCTTATGACACCAGAATGTGTCACAATAACTTTGAAATTTTGAATTTAAGGAAAAATGAATACAAATTAAGTGGAATTTTTGAACAGCGTATTAATACACTAAGTAAATAAATAATTTTTGCAAACTCAATGAACATTTCTTTAGAATTTAATGCCAAATCCTCATTATTTCCTCAAAAAATTAGAAGCAACAAATTATAATAGATTAAGCCGAGAATCATGCAATAAGTAAATGTGCAAGACTTGCTAGTCCTTTTTTTTCAAATCAGACATTGTATGTTACCACTCTCACCAGCTAAGCATAACGCTCAAATGCTTCTCGATGATTCCTTCTGGAACATGCCCGCTTGCGAGGCGCAAAGGTGCGACCTATTTCTCGAGTTAAATCGATGTTAAACTTATTTTTTAAATTGAAGATGATGCAGGAGGTCTTGTTAAACAGATGA